TGTGTGTGTGTGTTGTCCGCTCGTGTCCGCTTTTTCCTCCGGTAAAATTTCTGTTTTATTTCATTTTATTTCCATTTTATATAAACCATAAAACACGACAGTTTGTTAGAAATAATCATAGCAAGTATTAGCAACGAGTAAATACATTATCACATGCATAAACCCTACTGAACTGCATAGAAATGCTGTGTTTGAGCATAACTCTCATATCCGGCCAAATCCCATATCCGGATGGGTGCCGGTCCCGACGTGGCCGGATAAAGGAGGTCGGACTGTATAACTGTTTTTTTCAAGTTGCATGTAAATTAATTTACACCCACATTGGCAATATTTACTGTATACTGACCAAATAATGTAATTATTCTATGTAGGAAAACAACAAAAATGTGTTTAGAAACCTAAACAAGCGTCTGATACAGGATGGACTTGATCCAAACATATCAATTGATCACAAGCTTTCTTACATTTGGAATCTTCTGCTGGATTCAGAGGTATGTGTGCTGTTAATGTCTTAAGGCCTGTCTCCACACACGCGGCGCGGCACGGAACGCCACGGAAACGGCGCCGTTCACCCCTACTGGCAAAGTTCAAATCTTTTATATCTTAAGGCGCAGTCTCCACTGACACGGCACGGCGACAGCCTGGTTTCACGGCGACGGCGAAAGTCAAATGAGGTTGACTTTCGCCGGATGCCGTGTACGGAGAAAGACAGTTTAACCAATCAACGCGATTGTTTTTTATCACGTGTTCTGCTCACGCAACCATCAACCAATGGACAACAAGCACATGCATAATTTCTGATCACTGAACCAGAGTGAACACAATGCGCTCGGATACAATGCGCTAAATCACAATGCATTTTTGTTCAGCACAACCGCGCTGCGTTTTGCCTGCGTTTTGCCGTGCCGTGCCGCGTGTGTGGAGACATATAGCTTTACTCATAATCTCAATAGTCTAAGTCATACTTCATTGTTCCCAAGTTGCCAATAACTCACATTCAAGGTGTACTGTAGGCCCAACATAACATGGCTCAATATAATGGAGAACTGCTTGTAATGCACGCAAATCGTTTACCCAATTAAATAGGAACTATAGTTACCACCATAGTAAGATTTGGGCAAGCTAAATGTTGAGAGACAGCTAGGCAGATTACAAGCAGACACACAGAAAGACAGTGCCACTGATAGATAGACCAACAGGCAGACAGATGGGCAGACAGGCAAATAGACAGATATAGACAGACTAACCTGTGAGGCGATATAGGTCTTCAATATAATAAGGCTTCAATATTGATTCACAAATATGAGCACATGATCTCAGCTGCCTGTAAATAACATGCTCATGCATGTGTGTGTGTTTGTGTGTAGTCACAACTGGACAGCCTACAAGATCGAATGCAACGCTCAGATAGGCGACATGCTACAGAACTGGAAGAACTTGAAAAATACATGGCGGCAATGCAGGATACTGCAGAAACTGTGGAGATGGTATACAACTCCCTACAGCTGATTTCCATAATGATTAGTATTTGCATTAGGCTGCTTTGCTGATGAGTTATATTAATATTATTACTTGCCATACTGGCAAAGCAATCCTTGTAAAAAGACCTAATCAGAGTTTTTTTTTTACTTTCTATACCATTATGATTTTTATTTATCTTGCTAGCAGAGTTATTCTTGATATTTATAATTGTTTATTAATTTTATAGGAAAATAAAGAGCTGAAGAAAAAGGCAAGTACCTAGATTATGAATAATAATCAGTCATACTCAGTGATATGTCTCATAAATGAACTATTAATTAGTGTAATTATTCTGAGTGAAGATGTTGGTATAGTGACCTATTATCTATTGCAATCAATGTTATTGATTGTACAGGTAGTGGAGTTAGAAGACAGAAAGGGTAATAGCAGGAATCATGCAAGTCCAACTGATAGTCTCGAATCTGGAACCAACAGGTAAAGAGCTTCACTGGGATACATGTGTCTTGCGTGCATGATTTTAAGGCTGCCAGAAATGTGTCAATGCTTGCGTTTTTCGAATAGTTTTAATGGTAATAAGCGAAGGCGAAGGCAGTCAAGCTGGCTGGAGTTTCAAATCTTATCTGACAGCCATTTGGAAAAAATATACTTTGCATATGTTTGCAAGTGGCGTCATCGGTAGTTCTTACTATACCAGTAATAATGAGTATTCGTGACCTACCTCACCCACAGAGAGGATGAGCTAAATGAACATGAGCATTTAGTACAGAAGGTACAGCAAATGACGAGGGAGAGATTGGAGTTAGATGGTATACTGCAGGACACGCAGCTAGCCATGGCTGACATGGAACGAGAGAGCAAGCAGCTGCTACTGGACAAGGAGGAGATAGCACACAAGGTGAAAAAACCCTCAACATGTAGAAAACACACCCCAGCAAGCTGACATGCTTGATTTTATCATTGTTATAATATGTCTCTAACAAGTACTAATATTACCAGTTCTGTGTGCTTTTAATATCTGCAGAAGCAGAGGTCCTCTCATTGCTTGCATAAAATTAATAGGTAAAATACGCTCGGTTGAATGTCCAGCTAAGCCCCTCTATCTAACAGTCATTACTAAACGATATCATGCTGTCAATTAAAATTAAAGCTGCTTGTTAATTCTTAACATACTAACCTGTGCTAACCTGTGGATAGCTATGTTAATCTCTACAAAGCTGTGCTAACGTATAGTAAGCTATAGTGACCTAGCTGTGCTAACCTGTGGATAGCTATGTTAATCTCTACAAAGCTGTGCTAACGTATAGTAAGCTATAGTGACCTAGCTGTGCTAACCTGTGGATAGCTATAGTAACCTCTGGAAAGCTGTGCTAACCTCTAGTGTGCTATGGTGACCTGTGCTAACCCATGTTTGTGCTTACAGCTGGGTGAAGCTCTGTATCAGTGTGATGAGATGGAACAACAACTGAGAACTGCTCTGTGTGGTGGTGGGTGCTAATAATAATGTGGCACTGACTTAATTTATGCACTCCTGCTCTATACCTTGAATCTATAGCACCAAACCTTCCAATCCTAAACATACTCCAAAAATTAGGAACCATTCAATCCTGAGCCTAACCTAGATAGTTTCCTGTCAAACCTAAACCGAGCTGAAACCTTAGGCACTGCATCTCTAACCCAATACTAGGCCCACAGCAATGCTGAAGTTAATGCCAAATATGTATATTGATATGTTCTCTGTTTTAACCTATTATAGGTACTCTGTGAAATTTTTGTTGTGTTGATTAATTATGCATGCCCTTCTCCATCTTCTTTTTAGGTAATAATGAATAAATATTACATGTATTTTTAAAAGCACATATACTGCATACGTGTGGTTTATCACACCATTAAATGTGTTGAGCAAAAGGTTGGTTTCATAATAAAAGTCATAGCTATTTGTAGTGTATTAACTGATATTAATTTATCAGGGAACGTGTATGTATATATATATATATATATATATATAATAATATTATATACATATACTCTTTGTTTAGTGACTACTTTCTTAAAAGTATTATGCTACAGTATCACTACTGATTAGTAACTACACTACTAGCATGTAACTGTGGACATTGGCATGTTTCTGCAGATGAATCATCGAAGCAAGCTGAGTGGAAGCTTAATGAGGAAAACCTGAGGCTAATTCAAGAGATCAATGCTGCTAAGCTGAAACTCGTAACCACGGAGACAGACTTTTCAGCTTTTAGAAATGAAGCCAAAACAAATCGGGTAGGGTTGTTATTAAACTCTGACATGTCATCTAATCGATCTTGTTATAGCTTTTGAACATTAGCTACTTGTTACTAAGGAGCTATGGTAAAATATAATTGAAAAAAGACCATTAACATTAACCTGTACTATTACGGTGGGGGGGGGGGGAACAGCAGCCAGTTGTCTCACACATAAATAGCAAACTATTATATTAGTAATTATACTTGCATATTAAATTAATGCTAAAGTTCAAGGCTATAATAACATTTGCACAATACTTCATGTGTAAAAGTCATGAAATCCTCAACTCATTTAATGACCACTATTAATGATTTCATAACTACTTGTAATGATTCTAAGAATGACCTGCGCTACTGCATATATGCTACTGTGCTGCTGAGTATAACGGCGGCATTGGCTTCCTTTTTAGAATCGACTTGAGAACACGATCGGTGATATGAAAGAGGAAGCTAAGCGACTGAGGAGTGAGCTTCAGTCCAGCGTGAAGATGGAGCAGGTTGATGGATCAGAGCAGCAGAAGGTGACTGTGTGCCGCGCGATGGAGAGGCTGGAGCAGCAGAGGACTGCGTTCGATGACGAGGTGAAGCGGGTGACAAGTGACTACGACCGACTGAGACTCGATCACGCCCAGTCACTGCGCACGGCCGAACGCGACGCCGACAACTACGGTCACCAGCTGCGCCGGCTGGAGGCTGAGAAAAGCCATCTCGAGACAGAGAAAGATCATCTTGAGACAGAGAAGGGTCGTCTTGAGACAGAGAAAGATCGTCTTGAGACAGAGAAGGGTCGTCTCGAGACAGAGAAAGATCGTCTTGAGACAGAGAAAGATCGTCTAGAGACAGAGAAAGATCACCTAGAGATGGAAAACAATCGTCTAGAGACGGAGAAAGGTCGTCTTGAGGCAGAGAAAGATTGTCTTGAGACACAGCTTGCCAGAGCCAGACGGTCTCGTGAGCGAAGTCCTGCCAATGAGATGTCTCAACTCTCCACGAATGATGAGCAGCAGCAGCCACAGGAGAAGAAGGAGAAGGAGGAAAAGAAGGAGAAGGATGAAAAGAAGGAGAAGGAGGAGGAGGAGGAGGAGAAGGAGGAGGAGGAGGAGGGAGAGAAGGAGGAGGAGAAGGAGGCGGGTTCGGCGTCGGAGTTCCTGGCGATACTGGGTCGGACTCTCTCGTCGCTGCCGGCTGCGCGACGCAACGACGTCGTCACGGCGACGAGACGCGAGGACGTTGTCATGGCGACGAGATGCGATGATGGGCCGTCGACGGAGTCGGGCGTGTGCGCGGGAAAGCTGTACAGCGAGCGAGAATACGTCGCCGTTCTCGAGGAGCTGCAGTCGACGCGCCTCAGCAACTACGAACTTAACGAGGAGATCGACGCGCTGAAGTCATCGCTGCTCGCCGCGCAGACGACGCTCAAGGTCAAGTCGAGGTCGCTCGAGGTCGGCGCGAAGTCGCGTGAGAGTGAGCGCCTCCTGGTGGAGGAGCTGGAGCGGTTGCGCGGCGAGAACGTGGCGTTGGCGTTGGATGAGGAGCGAGCGAAGGCGCTCGGCAAGCAAGCGAGCGACGCACTGCGGCGGGACATGGAGCGGCTGGCGGCAGTCAACCGCGAGCTAGATGGGCGCCTGCAGGCAATCGCGCACGACGCGAAGGAGTCGGCAAACGCCGACCTGCGTAAGCTCGAGTCCGTACAGAAAGCGCGACTCGACGCGCGCCACCAGGCGGAGGCACTGACGCTCGAGAATGCGAGACTCCGGGCAGAGCTGCACGACGGCGAGGCGGCCCAGGGGGCGCTGCGAGCGACCGTCGACGAGCTCGAGCGCAACACTGGCGCCCTCCGGCGGGAGATCGCCGAGTTGAAGGCGAGCCACCATGAGGAGATGGAGTGTTTGACGGCGCGGCAGGCAGCGATCTGCGACGAGGGTGCAGCGCTGCGGGAGGAGATCGACAAGGTGATACAGATGCGGCGGCGCGACGTTGACGTAGCACAGGGGAAGCTGAGCGCTTCGTTAGAGGAAAACCTCGGCTGCAAGCGGCGACTGAACGAGATGGAGATCGCGCTCGCGAAGGAACGTGAGCGCGCGCGTAAGTCGGCCGAGGCAGCGGCCGCCGCCCTCCTGCGGGTGGAGGACGGTGAGGGGCGATGTACGGGCGAGCTCGACGCAAAACAAGCGAGCATCCGAACGCTCGAGAGCGGGCTGCGGGACGCGCAGGCGCTCGTCGACGAGCGGGAGCGAGGTCACCGGCTCGAGGTCGCCGGGTTGCTAGGCAACCTGGAGCGCGAGCGCGCGACAACGCTCAACTGCAAATCGAGACTCGAAGAGGCGGAGCGTCTGGTTGCCGCGGGCGACGACGACCGACGCGCCGGCGACGCCCGCCAGGCGGCGCTGAAGAACGAGATGGGGGCGCTGCTGACGAAGCTGCAGCGGGTGGGGGAGGAGGCGCGACGGCGGACGGAGGAGGTGGCGGCGACGCGGACCAAATACGACGCGACGGCGCAGGCCTTGCGCTCGGAGCTCGAACGCGCGCGCCGGGAACGCAACGTCGCCGTGGCGACGCTCGAGCGTGCGGAGGCAGACGCAGACGAGCAGACTCGGGATGCAGAGCGGAAGCTGCGGAACGAGAATGAATCCCTGCGCGCGGAGAACGCCGCGCTCACGGACGCGCGCACGCAAGAGGAGCGGCGGATCGAGGAGGAGCAGCGATCGACAGAGCGACGGAGGCAGGACCTCGAAGACCGTCTCAGCACGGCGCTGTTCGCCAAGCAGAAGGAAGCCGAGTTCCTCTCAGAGAAGGTCGAGGACGGCAGGCGGGCGACGCAGGAGCTGGAGAAGAGACAGCAGGAGTTGAAAGAGGAGATGGAGCGGGAGCATCTAGCGACCTCTGTGAGGATGAAGGGAGCGGAGGCAGAGGCGGCGAATGTGGGCGCGCTGCGGGAGCGTCTGCGAATCTCCGACGACGCAGCGCGTGCTCTCTGCGATGACCTCACACTAGCACGCCGGCACACGCAGGAAGCTACCGACGTCGCTCACCAGGTGGCAGCACTGCAGCAGGATGAGCTGGTGGCTCTGCAGGATCAGGCGAAGAGGCGTGAGCGCGACCTGGTGGGCATGCGAGAGCAGATGGAAGCGGAGAAGGACAGGCTGCAAGCACAGGTGGAGATGCTAAATGCAAAACACTTGCAGGTTAGTTGTAATATACAGCTATGTGTGAGAGCTGACTAGTATGGAGCTCAACCCTGTAATCAGGGTGTTAGCCAGGAAAAATTCACGGAGTCTCACCATCTGAGCGAAGCGCCCTAGGGGAGAGGGCCTTGCCTTAAAATGGAGGAAATTTATTATGAAATGCCAAAAAGAGAGGAATCTGATATGATTTTATATTCTTATAAGCACTGTTGTCATTTATACAAGGTGTATTATATAAAATTGGGCCGCCCTCATGCCGTCTCTATCAAATGTCATCCGTCACATCTAAATAGGCCGTCCAAAAGACGGGTAGGTGGGTCTCTGGCTAACACACTCTGAATAATGAGGGTAAATAATATGAACAGTGGTTTAATCAACTGTTTGATTATATGACATCTATGCATTGTAGAGCTGCCGTATCATGATTGGCTCGTGTGGCATGAGCTACAGGCAACTATTAGTCGGTGCTGTGATTGGACGTACTAAAACATGTTTGGCATTGAAGTATCACAGTTGATATTTTTGCATGTCGAAAACCAAAACTAAGTGGGCTGAACCAATCTAGCAACAAGGGGAACATGGTTATTTCGCTCGGGTGGATGGATCAGTTGTCTGCTAATTGCTTTAATCGTCACCAGATGCAAGCTATGAAGTCACACATCGAGTCGGAGCTTCAGGCGTCGATGTCAGATCACAGAGAGGAGGTGCGGAAGCTGAGGAGTGAGCTCAGCGCCATGACGACGGAGCGAGATGAGGTGGCTGGGCGGATGCGGAAACTGCAGAGAGATGCTCAGCTGCGTAGGGAGAAGCTGGAGTCTGAGCGGGTACGCGTGCAGGAGGATCAGAACAAGGTGAGTATTAGCTTAGACTCTGAGACCGTAGTCATCAATCGCCTGCAATATACACTATACAGAATGTACAATGTACAGTGTGCAATATAATACAATATGTGCTGAGCAATATATAATATACAATACAACTTACACTATACAATGTAATATATTACAATATGTGATATACAAAGGCTACATTATAGTTAAAATGGCAGTGGAGTTCGATATTGCTTCTAGAGTTGTGATGTTCTATTTGGATACATTTTGATTCTTCAATATATAGCACGTAGATACATCTCGCTCTCTCTTTCTCTCTCTCTCTCTCTCTCTCTCTCTCTCTCTCTCTCTCGTCTCTATATATATATATATATATATTATATATATATATATATATATTATATATATATATATATGTCAATGCAAAAAGGTTCAAATAGTAAATGTATTTTTAGAAAATAAGTGGATTACATATAACACGTACATGAGAATATTATTACCATCCATTTCCATTTGTAAATATGCTGCAATATTTCTGTATAGTGTTGTGGTGTGTGTGATGTGGATATTTCTTCGCCACTGGAGTATTACTATAGTAATTAACAACTCTGTTACAAACATCTAGGTGGCTGGGCTAGAACAGAAGCTGGCAGAGACCAGCGGATTGCTACAGACAGCCGAACACCGTCTGGGGAAGATGGCCGACACTAAACAGCAGCTGCAGATCAGACTAGCAGAGCTCAGTGAAATACAGCAGGTGTTGTGTGTTGAACAGACGCAAAGGTAAACTGTCATCAGATACTCAGCCATCACTGCGAGCTCCTTTTACGTCTTGTTGCAAGTAACACCATAAACGCACGATCCCATTAAAATGTAATGCCAGTAAATGTTCATGCTGTATGTTCCTTCCCAATTAGCACTATATAGAAAGGTATGTAACAAAATCATGTAAAAAGTAAATGATGAGATATCTTTTCAGTATCATAGTTATCTATACAGTTGGCATTGGATTATCTGAACTACCGTGAATTGTCTCGAATTTCGGCAAGGTTAATTTACATAAACGGATAACTCATGCGCACACAATCAAAACTTTACTCTGTAGTGGGAATTTAGAAAATTCAGAGGGGGATGTCCTTCATGTTGACAGAGTATCCATCGAGCGCGAACTGGAGACATTGAAAGAAGAGGTGTCACTGCAGAAGGCCAAAGAATCACACGGGTCGTTGCCTGCCCTGAAGCAGGTAAGAGACAGATAGATGGTGCTTAGTGTAAACCTTTAAAACCAATAAATCTATGTGTATTCTCTGGGAGATTCCTGCTCAAACTAAGCTTCAATGCCATTGTTTTTTTAATCTCAAAGGTCGCATGATTACTGTTAAATAATCGGCTATGCTAGATTAGTTAGTTACGCTGTTGGTGGTTAGGTGTTGTTGATGCCGTAGTCGTTGTTGTTGTTGTTGTTGTTGTTGTTGTTGTTGTTGTTGGTGGTGGTGGTGGTGTTATCGTTGCTGTTATTGTTGTTGTAGTTGATTTTTTGTTTTGCAGCAGTTGCAGAGCAAAAATTCTTCTGAGATTATCTGTGCGAAGGACAAAGAAATTGTTGGGATAAAAGCAGAGATGGCACGTCTACAGAGAGTGCTAGATGCCGAGTCACAACGCAGAAAGACAATGTCACAGCGTAGGAAAAACCAGCTATCTAATCATAGGTGTGTTGTAATAGGAAACTGAATCAATTTAACGTGAACTTGTTTAACCTCTTCTTAGTTAAACAGTTTTAAACCACATGCACAAGTTCATGGCAATGTATAATTAGAAGCACTTGTACATCTGTAAGCAAACTAAAGTAGTGTAATCTGCAACTACCATGACTACATCCACAGTGATGCATACAGCAACTACAGCTAGGTTTATAAAGCATATTGTACAAAATTGGTGCACGGTTATAAAATATCTAGTACAAAACTCGATGCACGTTAATAAAGTATGTAGTCCCGTACTGCATACACGTACGTTTCTTCTATGTAGCATACAACCTCAGACGCGTGTGGAAAGTACACATAGTGTAGATCTGTTGAGGCCACAATTTAAAAAAATCTTTGTTTACCCTCACCTGACCCACGCTAAAAAGTTTGGGTAGGTAGGTAGGCTTTTTTTGAGGGGGGTCTTTTTACAAATTCAGCATGGTGTCTACATGCTCGGGTGTGCTTGTGTGGAGATATACCTTTTATGTTGAATGTTTGTTTTGCTTGGTACACATAATGTACAGTGATACAATTTGTAAAAAAAAAAGAATGAGAAAGATAATAAAAAAAATTGAGTCGGGCCCTTATTGGCGGGTCGGTTGGGTGAGGGCAAACAAACTATATTTTTATTATGGCCTGGTGTAGCTGAGAGTAGACTGAGACTTGTACTAGAGTAGTAATTGTGATGATGTGTTGCACAGAGAGGCTCACGTCAGGAATGTGAAGCAGCTGGAGAAGCTGATTGGCAGCCTAGAGCAGGAATTGCAGTTATGCCGACTGGAGCTGACTGGAGAGAGACAGCTGAGCGATCAGCTGAACAAAACCCTGTCCATCCTGCACTCTGAGAAACGACAGCTGCTGCTGAGGTGAGCTGGGACATGTGTTGGGACAGGAGCTTGGACAACTCTCTCTCCCCTCACTCTCTCTCTCTCTCTCTCTCTCACAACACACACCACAGAACACAACACACACACGCGCGCGTGGCTTAACGTATCTGTGTTCATGTGTCTGAGAATGAGAGAGAGAGAGAGAGAGAGAGAGAGAGAGAGAGAGAGAGAGAGACAAAGTATGAAGACATTGTGTTCATGTGTTACGATCTAAGATAGTGCATGTGTGACTAGCAAAACTAATTTTGTTAAAACAATGTTATGATAACAATTGTTACGTTTGTAATTGTTAAACCTCATTTTAGTAACATTCAATTAATTTTATATATATTTATAACGCTGTTTTTTATCTCATGCATGCTGCTGCTATGCTGTCAGACAGTCTTGTCAGGGCTGTAGCCTGCGGGGGGGGGGGCAAAAATTAAATAAAATTTAAAAAATAAATTGTTCTACTAAAAGAAAATTGTCGTAGTCAGAATGAAGGCTGTACATGTACTCAAAAGTGCCTCAAATACCATCTCCTGCGATCTACATTTTCAAAATTTTCGGGGGAGGACCTATTTCTCACCCCCTCCTTGAAATCCTGGATCCGTCATTGCCCCCCCCCCCACCTAGGCATTTTCTCAGCCTGCGGCCCTGCTTGTAATGAAACTGTCATCATCATTATATTAATGATTGGCGGCTCCTCGTTACCAGGGTGGAAGAGGCGACTACGGCTGTCAGAGACAGCAACAGGAGAGAACATCTATTGCACAGCCGCTGCCAACTTCTCGAGAAGCATGTATCCTGATCACCTACAGTCTCGTTTGCTCCGGAATTATGCTGTTCTAAATTGGGAGTGCACCCATCACAGTAACAGGGCTGCCAACTCTCACACATTCGGCGTGATACTCAGGCAATTGAGGCTAATCTCATGCTCTCACGCCGGATCTGCTAATTCTCACGCATACAGAAGCAATGAAGCAGAAACGTTTTGAGCCATCCATATATATACATGTACCTGATCCATCTAAAAGCAGAACTACATTATATTGCATTACATACATGTGTATGTTTAAAAACTCACTTAAGTATGCAGCACAATGCACAATTTCAAGCTGAAAATGCAAAAGCTCCCTGGTGTGGGAGAGGGGGGGGGTGCCCCCACACCCTCCCCCCGCTCGGTTGCTCCGCTCCCTCGCATAATCTCACTCTCATCTCTAACTCAATGTTGGCAGCCCTGCAGTAATAACTAAACTATGCTGTTCAGTGGTGCAGTGCGTGCACCCCTTGCTGTGTGCCAATACAAACCCATCTTTTCAGCGTTGTGTCATAAATGTGTGTTAAATGTAACAAGTGTAGGATGTACATAGGTTGTCCAGAAACATACACGTTATCTTGAAGAATTTATCATGGTTAATATCAATTTATCTTCTCTTTCTATCTGGGCTCTGTTTATGAACTTATGATCACTTTCCCTCATACTAAGGGTATACTTTATTTATCAATCCATAAAAGCGTTACAAAGTGATGTAGTGGCTGAATACTGAATGCTGAGTACTGAATATCCATATCAGTTCCTCATATGCATTCTATCAAAGTGCTTACTTTTACCCAACAATCCATGCAGCAACATATCATTCAAGGCTATAGCTTTGCTGTGTTGGCACATATCTACACTTTGCGCAATTACAACGCTTTGTCCTAAAGCATATAAGTTGATTTTGAACTTCGTCTGCCAAATAATATTAATTGCCAGTGTGCGAGAGAAGCAGAACTTTGCCACAATAAATGTGTCTCCGCTGCTAATCACACAATTTGTGTTGAACCACAAATTCATATCAATATCCATTCGAATCAATATCATATTGAACCCGTCTAGTTTTGCTAAGTTGGTGCCTTCTTGTTTCTAGCTAATGGGCGTTGGTTTTCTAGAAAAGAACTAAGGAACTATTTATCACTGTCCGCAAAATGTGAGGGTATTTTTTTACTATGCGGGGAGGAAGGTCTCTGCACATAGTCAGGCACTCTTCTTGGATATTACATTACATGGTTGTCTGTGCAATGCTTTATAGGAGTAGCTGTAGCTTACACAAACTGTAAGGTGAAAAATCAAAAGATCATAATCATCATGATTTTATGAAACATTTATAGATAATGTAGACGATTAGATGGATGGATAGTATTTAGCTATCTACTTTCAGTCTGGATCAAGTGCTATTCTGCAAATATTTATGTGCAACATGACAAAAATTAACCGTCCAAACTAAAACAGTGATAGATTTAATTTGCACGTTTATGTATTTTTTGTTTAAATATTTAATATTGTGTTATATTTAAACGTTTATATTTACACGTTTGTAATTACAGTCCTTGACTATTTCTGGACTAAAGCTATTTTAGTATGTTTTTCCCATACGTAAACATAAATTAACCGTTCAAACTAAAACAGTGATAGATTTAATTTGCACGTTTATGTATTTTTTTGTTTAAATATTTAATATTGTGTTACATTTAAACACGTTTGTAATTACAGTCCTTGACTATTTCTGGACTAAAGCTATTTTAGTATGTTTTTCCCATACGTAAACATAAATTAACCGTTCAAACTAAAACTGATAGATTTAATTTGCACGTTTATGTATTTTTTTGTTTAAATATTTAATATTGTGTTACATTTAAACACGTTTGTAATTACAGTCCTTGACTATTTCTGGACTAAAGCTATTTTAGTATGTTTTTCCCATACGTAAACATAAATTAACCGTTCAAACTAAAACAGTGATAGATTTAATTTGCACGTTTATGTATTTTTTTGTTTAAATATTTAATATTGTGTTACATTTAAACACGTTTGTAATTACAGTCCTTGACTATTTCTGGACTAAAGCTATTTTAGTATGTTTAATCTTCATTTAATAAACATACATGAAATTTTAACTGGTTGATTTGGTGATATAGTTTTTGCAATATGTCACTGCGTGTGCATATTTGCTATTTAATTAGACTAATCGTCATTCAATAAACTCAAATTTCACAGAGATTATAGCTAAGACATGTGTCTATAATAGCTAGAATTTATAGAAATGTAACTCGAATTGTTCGCGCCATATGATAGTTAGTACACTTTCCTACAGGTCATAGCGTATGCGCCTACTACTATGTGGCGGGGTATAAAAAATGGAAACGAAATGTTACGAATTTTATTTTTCTCCTCCAATCACAGGTCGGAGCAATTCCTCGTGTTTAGACGCATGTCCCACATGGGAGATATAGTAATACATATATTGAAATCGCGGATAGAATAAGGGCAGCATGGAAAAAATGGAGAGAGGTTTCAGGAGTTTGTTGAGTCGTGCCTGGTAATTAATTTCAGTGTCCGATCGAATGGTTTCATTTCGCTTGCTTCGGACTGACTACAAAGCCAAAAGGAAAGTACGTGGTTCTGTCCTCAATGTACACTAGAACGAAAACAGAAGATGTGATCTTTTCCATTTGCTGCACGTCCAGATATCTGCCATGACCAGACTCTGCATAGACTTGCTTTCGTTCTTGCACAGCTATTGTTGGATCCATTCACTTTTTGGTGCACTTCCTTTCTCTAGGTAAGGAATTGCTTGAATTGGTTTGGTGGACGATGCTCCCTTGTAACCCGCTACCTTCCCTAGGTATTTGTCCCTGGTTTGTTGTAGTTGACATATGTTTCCCATTGATTGTCTCGCGTAGAAATGTTTCTGGATGCAGTGGCAAACAATCTGCTGTGACAGAAAAGAATGCACTTTATGAAATAGGTTTATGATACTAATTTTTATATATATGTAGTTGCATACCATAAGGGGCTTCTAAGCCAATGCTATCTGAAGTAGATGGCCTGTAAGAGCAAAGGGGGTTTGTGTATGTATGTAATAGTAAGTAAATGTATGTATAGCAAGTAGAATCACTTCACATTGGTGAAAGCCTGCTTGCCCATCACCGCATGATTCTTGGAGAGACAATTGTTTCAGCACATTGAACACAGCGTTGCATAAAGTAACTGACTCGCCACGTGTTTGTGAATGTGTGAGTGTCTGCTTATGTAAACGTATTGGCACTGTCATGCTTCATTTGCCATCGTCCAGTAGCCAGTTCATGATCAGTATGCTTTCTTACATTCCAAAGAAATCTTTGCACCTGTAGTCATTTATTTAAAATGTGTTAATTTCGACATTTAAGTGTGTTAATTATTATGTGTTAATTATCCTTTTTGGGTTGATTATACTACCAGTTTCATTGCACACTTAATTGTGCTTGTATTATGTTCACAGTTTCCTGGGTTCATTGGCTAATTTAGGACAGCAATGCAAATATTCTCTGTACGTAGTTTGTAAAATTGAAATGACCTACTTATGATATTAATGGTATTATTATATACATGTTCCATTTATAGTGTATTAATAAAAGGTATTTATTTTAAATATGCTATGAACAAGACTGCTAAAACTACGTCCTGTAATAGAATTGTGTCATTCCATAGTGTGTACAATCATAGTTTCCCTAACCAATTACGATTTTTTGTATGCTGCTAATTATGTAAAAAGTGTTGTATTAATGAGCCATGTGAAACATTTTAATCCATTTTTTGCAATTACAATATGATGAGTTTTTGGCTTACAAATAAAATCTGATATTTTAAATTTTTATTAAACCATGCTTTATGCTTTTTATATTGTTAGTATAGTCATAGATATTTTTATCATATTGATATTATGGACTCGCCTCATACCCCAGGGGCGGATCTAGGGGGGTGTCCGGGAGGTCCGGACCCCCCCTTTAATTTCAAAGAGCCCTAAATAATTACTGCTCAGATGCTCTCAGAATGCATCAATTTTGTTGGGGGAGCGCGCTAGGTACCCCCCCCCCCGACTAAGTGGCAACGTGTCGAAGGCACGTCGCATAAGCTGCCTTTGGCAATTTTTTTAAACACCAGAAAAATTAAGCGGGGAAAAGTGCCCTTTATTTCTTCTTGGACACCCCCATTTCAAAAATCCCGGATCCGCCCCTGCATGTTGCACGATCAATAGGCGATCGTCGCTTCTACTGGCTGCGACTGGTCGCAGGCAGTCGCTGTCAGTCGCGTCGCCGTCGACCTAAGCACTGCAGCCGCAGTGAATTGCAGTGCGTCGCGTCGCAAGCAAGCAATCGCAACCCGACATAACCTCGACACACCCCCACGCGCATACACGCGCGCGCGCGCGCGTGCGACACACGCACACACGCGCACGCGCGCACGCACGTGCACACACACGCGCACGCACGCACGCACGCACACACACACACACACACACACACACACACACACACACACACCAGTGGGTGTGCGAGCTTTATAAACATTCTGCTCTCTATAATCACAGACAACTGACGTGGAAAAGGGTCAAACCATGCCGGCGGGGAAAGAAGGCGAGGTGTGTATCAAAGGTCCGCAGATCATGAAGGGATATCTCAACTACCCCGCAACAACCGCATTCACGCTGGACGCGTGATTTTTTTTCCTTGGATAATCAAGAACATAGCTAGTGAGCTCTTCCATTGGTTGAGCTTGTTTCGTCGCTCAATGACGTCACAGTGTCGTCATATTCATAGCACATCCATCATTCAGATATTCCAATAATCCTGAATGTTAGTGTGGACAAGGATTTTATTGTTTCACTATAAGTGCAGTAGTTTCATGCAGTATTCTTTTACTCTTACATACACGTTAATTATGAAAATGGTAAAAAAATATTATTAAAATAGAATAGCTCAATTATGAATAAACATACTGAAAAATTAGTCAGTTTATTTGTCATCTAAAGTGGAAATTAAATCATCGGCTATGAGAAGTGCATTTTGCATAAAGGTAACAAAAAAGAAAGCCATATAGCTATAATATACGCAGGCTTATGTGAATGAGAAATCATCTCTCATTTGTGTACTCCTAATATTTCTATATTAAATATAAATATATTCATATAAATATAAACAAAAACCAGGCCGCAGCAGTGGTTATCAGATGATAAGTGCTGATTCCGCCGACGGCTTGGTTAAAACTGTGTTAACGTCTATGATGTCATGATGGCTCAAATGGAATAGAAGTTTACGGGTGCTAGCTGCATGTGCGTGGTGTCCGTGCGCGCTGCTCT